CTGTTCCCCCTATTTCAAGGAATCTGAGCTTTCTGAAAGCCCCCACCCTCACCACTTGTCTGGGCTCAACAACCATACTGCACAATGGTGTCCTTTTTACAGGGCCAAGATATTAATTCATGCTTTTGCATCAATCTGGTTTTCCCAGTGGACCAGCAAGGCCATGTAGGGGAATACCCCTGTGATGGTCTAACTACCCAACAATGGAGCAAGCTATTCACACTATTGGCTTTTATTCACTGGTCTTGTGACTGGATCTACATGTGAGTGCATAGGGACTTCTGTTTCCCTCTGATAGTCTAACACACCATCCCAACTATATTGGGGAATACAGATCACTAATCATTACCAAGCAGCCTACCGTTCATCACAGAATCTAAGCACCATGCAGAAGGTGTAAAAAGAAGGCACAAACAGTTCTAAAAGGTACTTTTCTCTTTCTTTCACATAGTTCCAGTGAGTATGTAGATATTTTTATTTAATGGGACTCATTGCTAAGGAAACAGTTTATTGAGAAGCATGTGTATTTCTGATGTGAGCACACTTGAAAGCATGGTCTTGTGGGTAAGGTACTAGACTGAATGGCAATCAAACTATGGTGAAGGGCGCCATATAAGTACCCAAGATAGACAGTCAGATTTGTAAAAGGGACATAATAATTCCCCTCTCCTATCTCTTGTCTGTCTTGTCTTTTTAGATTCCTTTTTGGGGCAGGACTTCTCTCTGACTATCTGCATGTTTGTATAATGCCTAGTACAGTAGGGAACTGATCTTAGACGGGGCCTCTAAGTGCTACTGCAATATAATAAGAAAAATAACAAGCATTCTTGGGCTCAATCTGATCTCCTCTGTCCAGGAGTTCCATTAAAGGGTTTTGAGAATCATTACAAACTATTACAGCAAATTGGGCCACTTTTAGAAGAGAGCAATTCATGAAAAACAATAGTCCTGGTCTTTTTTTTTTTTAACTGTATAAATGACATTTATTAAAAAAATAGAAAAACCCTTTAGTTTGCAACTGACATTTTCATGACCTCTTCGCTAGCCTGTTTTGATCACAGTTTACTTTGATGAAGTATCTCTGCTTCTATGCTTTTAGTGGGCCACCTCAGAAGCTAAGACCACTTTCTTTACAGAACATTTGGAATCTTGCCTTTTCATCTGCTTTTTCATGGAGTAATGGGCAACCTTTTCAAACTTTTTCCTATGAAAGAAGGTTGTGACTTTTCTATTGGGCCAGGTATATACCATGCAGCACTTTGCTCTGCTTTGACTTTTTTCCATAGTTTCTTGTGTGCATACTTGGCTCCTCTTGTGAGACTGTAAAACTTCAGAGGGATCCGGTTCAAGGATATTTGAAAGCTAAACTGTTTTAGATATTCACCTCTTCTTTCTCTCTCTCTCTCTCTCCCTCCCTCCCTCCCTCCCTACAGGATTTTGAGCTTTGCCCACAATCTTCAGTGTTCCATCTCAGAAACAAACTCTGATTTTCTTTGTTATGGGTCCATATAACTCCATTAATTTATTTTCAATTTTATACAATAAGTAAAAATCAGCATATGGGGTACCCAAGACCAGTAATACATCACATAGTAATCACCCAAAAAGAGGGAGTATTCCCAAAAAGCACAGTAAAAGGGCAAACCATATAGCAAAATAGTATCCAATGTACTTAGTCCTCAGCCATGCACTAGACTTTTTATCTGGTCATTTATACTGGAGCTCATCACTATGTTATCTGGGAACCATAGCATAAAAACCACACATCCCAGATGGAGGGTGAAGGAAGTAGCCTAGAGATGTCTAGAATCTGGAGAGGCTAAGGTCTCTTTCAGATACTTGGTACAATAGCTTTCTAGTTTCTGATAATATTATTTATCCCATAGCCTCCATCAGGAACAGATCCTCATTTTGTTAGGCATTGTAGAAACATAAATGGTACCTGCCTCTGAAGGGCTATGATACCTATAAAATACTTGACAATGATAAGGCAGCTAGTGTGCTGAGACCACTGCCTATCATGCTGACTAGTACTGTCTCATTGTTTCCCTATACTCCCTAGGCTGTGTATATCTACCTATTGTCTGTTGCCGTAGGGTTAGATGGTAAACTGTCTCTCTTGTTTCCCATAATAATTCCTAGAGCATAATTCCTAGAACATATCTTTCAAAAAAACTTCCTGTCTTGGTTTAAAAATTGCTAGTGATGGAAAATTGTTCCAATGGTTAATTACTCTCACCATTAAAAATGTATGCCTTATTTCCAGTCTGAATGTGTCTAACTTCAATTTACAGCCATTGGATAATGTTATACTTGTTTCTGCTAGATTAGAGAGCCCATTATCAAATATTTGTTCCCTGTGTAGGCACTTATAGGTAATAAGTCACCCCTTAAACTTCTCTGCGTTAAGCTAAATAGATTGAGCTCTTTAAGACTATCACTGTATGGCATGTTTTCTAATAATCTTTATCATGGTGTTAGACTAGATGACCCTCACAGTCCCTTTTAACCCTATGGTTCTATGTCTTTCTATGATCATTCTTATGGCTCCTCTCTGAACCCTCTCCAATTTATCAACATTTCTTGAATTGTGGACTCCAGAACTGAACATAATATTCAAGCAGTGCCAAATATAGAGGTACAAAAAACTCTTTACTCCTACTAAGATTCCTCTTTCTATGCATCCAAGGATTGCATTAGCCTTTTTGACCACAGCGTCACACTGGGAGTTCATGCGCAGTCGGGGCGGCTCCAGGCACCAGTGCCCCAAGCGCGTGCCTGGGGCGGCAAGCCACGGGGGGGCGGCATGCCGGTCGCCGTGAGGGTGGCAGTTAGGCATGCCGCCGAATCCGCGTTACCAGCGGACCTCCCGCAGGCATGCCGCCGAAGGCTGCCTCACTGCCATGCTTGGGGCAGCAAAATACATAGATCCGCCCCTGCGCACAGTTAATTATCCACTACAACCCTGAAATCTTGTCCCGAGTCACTGCTTCCCAGAATAAAGTCCTCCGTTCTGTAACTATGGCTTACACTCTTTGTTCCTAGACACTGTGACAAAGTTCCTCCTCTATCTTGGTGGGTCCTGCGCTTATTGGGAGATTTTCTTGCCTCAGAGATTCACCATGTGGGTTGGGGAACAGCCCAGAGACCTTCCCCTCTGGGAGAACCCACAGTCCAGGTCAATTGGGAGGTTTGGGGGGAACCCGGGCCCGCCCTCTACTCCGGGTTCCAGCCCAGGGCCCTGTGGACTGCAGCTGTCTATAGTGCCTCCTGTAACAGCTGCATGACAGCTACAACTCCCTGGGCTACTTCCCCATGGCCTCCTTCAAACACCTTCCTTATTCTCACCACAGGACCTTCCTCCTGATGTCTGATAACGCTTGTGCTCCTCAGTCCTCCAGCAGCACACCCTCACCCTCTCAGCTCCTTGCGCCTCTTGCTCCCAGCTCCTCACACTCGCACCACAAACTGAAGTGAGCTCCTTTTTAAAACCCAGGTGCCCTGATTAGCCTGCCTTAATTGATTCTAGCAGCTTCTTCTTAATTGGCTCCAGGTGTCCTAATTAGCCTGCCTGCCTTAACTGGTTCTAGCAGGTTCCTGATTACTCTAGTGCAGCCCCTGCTCTGGTCACTCAGGGAACAGAAAACTACTCATCCAGTGAGCAGTATATTTGCCCTCTACCCAAACTCCTGTACCCCACTGGTCTGGGTCTGTCACAACATATACATTTACATTTAGCCGTATTAAAACACATATTGCTTGCTTGCTCCCAGATTACCAAGAGATGCAGGTTGCTCTGTATCAGTGACCGGTCCTCTTCATTATTTACCACTTCCCCAATCTTTGTTGTCTGAAAATTATCAGTGATAGTTTTCGTTTTTCTTCTAGGTCATTGATAAAGTTAAACAGTGAAGGGCCAATAATCGATCCCTGTGAACCCAACTAGAAACATACCCACTTGGTGATAATTCCCCATGTCTAACTACATTTTGAGACCTATCAGTTAGCCAGCTTTTAATCCATGTAATGTGTTCCATGTTAATTTTATATTGCTCTAGTTTTTGAATCAAAATGTCATCTGTCATCAGTTTGGGAATGGGCATCATTAAGGAAAGATGCTATGGGAGAAAGTACAATGATGTTTCTGAGAGCAGCAGACAAGCAGGCAGTAGAGACACACAACACTGCCTGAGCTGAAGGGATGAGGGAACCAACACTATGAATCAAAAATACATAAGTGTAATGAGCCTTGATGATATGGAGAAGAAACATGAATTTGATGCATTGTGCATCAACAGGCCGGTTACAGCAAGACTGTGACCCACAGTGACATCACTGCTCCTCCCCTTCCCATCCTCTTTGGGAAAGTTGGCACCCAAGTGTAAAAATTAGGATTGTGACAGGTCAGCAAAAGAAGGGTGAGGGTGTAGGGGCTGCTTGTGTCTTTTTCCTTTCTTTGTGTACCCACAAACTTTATATTAAAGAAGCAACAGTGCTATCTCCTAAAACTATCATACATGCCATAGCTTTGGTGAATAATTGCCTGCCTTGAAAAAGGCTATAAACAGCAGATCCAACAGACCATTGCATGGTATTACATCTGCCCATTTCTTAACTACATGCTGAGGATTGTAAAATAGCTGGCATTCATTTTGGTTCAACGTAGACATATTGCTAATACAATTTTCTTATCCCCCCCCACCTTCCTTTTTTTCTTTTTCATTTTCTCATTCCTAGCATGTAAATTGGTTTCTCACTAATTAAATCTTGAAATGCCTTCTGGCATGGCAGGAATATTTTGACTTCTGTATTTCTATGAAATTCAATAAAACACGTGAAAGTTCACTTGAAAAAGTATTGTTTCAAACTTTTAGAAGTTAGCCAATTGCCTTATGATAATACCCTTGACAGAGATTCATTTTGATTCACCATTTGAAATTAGGATTGGGAAGATAGTGATAACAGATTATAATCAGACTAACTGGAATCAATTTGCTTACTGTGTTAGTTGAGTTTCCATTCAAATGTAAACCACTGTCAAAGAGAGGTGAGGAAGCTCCACTGCTATGATCACTGGATGGTCCAGGGGAACCTGAAAATCAGAAGGTGATAGATAATTGCTTAACTATTTTAAAATATTAAACAATCCATTATTATTTCAACTGAGGAAGGATTACAATGTGAGAATTGGTGAAATAAGTCATTGTACAAAAACAAACACGTGATTGCCTTTTAGCATGACAAGCAACAGTATGCATCTGATCATAGGCTATACTTTACAGGATGAGAAAGATGAAGGCAGTTAGATATCTTTATGTACAGACTGCTCAATGGGATTACTCACATGTTTAAGTGTTTGTCAGATTAAGCCTTTTTACAGTAAGGTTGAGTTTTTGAAAGCTGAATAGAGAATTTAGCCACACATCTCCCATTAAAATTAATAGCTACATTCCCTAGTCACATGTTAAGGGCATATGCATGCACTGGTTTGTAAATACATCTTAGCACTTGGCTTGAATGGTGCCTATTAAGTGGACAAGTAAACTTTATTAATGGATCTGATTTTTTTGTTGGTGAATGCCTGTTATTTTAGAGAATTGGAGATATTCATTATTTTAACTGGAAAATTAAATGCAAGAAAACACATTATTGCAATGTTCATATTGCATGGTTATGTGCTCAAAAGCCAAGTTTTGAGCTAATTCTTCCTCGTGCATGTATGCATTAGGAGGTTGTCTGTAAACATACTGTTTGATGGCAGCTTATCTAAGAAATGTATGTCTAGTTAGGTTATAGATGACATATATTATATTAGAAATAGTATGTGATTACATAATTAAATACTATTACAATGCAAATGCCAAAGAGCACAGGGTTTAGGTTTTGCTTTTTGATTTAATTCTTCCATTTTTTTTTCTTTGCGTGCTTAATTGTGCAAACTTCACATTGAAATAGTGTATGTTTTACATTGAATTTACTATGGCAATCTGAATATTTTGATAAAAGCATGTAAAAATCAAACTCACAGCTCCACAATCATTATCACCAAAATTCATTATTCTGTCTGCAGCAATCACTTGAAATTCCTCTTAAATCATTTCTCATTAATAGGCCGATCAAGTCTCTAACTTAACAACACACAACAGAGGATGACAATCATTCACGTCCATATGCCTTTTTTATGCTTCTATTCCATGCACATTTGTTGGGCTTAGCAAAAATGGAACTGTACAATAAGGCTCATCTTCTCCATAACAATTTATGCACATATTTTAACTAGAGAAGAAAGAAATGATTCAACTTTATTTAATTTTTCCAAGCAGCCATGTCTCTGTGTATCTCATAAATGTTTTTTATATAGCCAGACGTGCTAAAACCACATTCTATGGGAAAGTTACCGAATAAATCCCTACCAAGTTTTGAACACTACTGGGCATGTTTGGGTTTTTAGTAGTTTCTTCAGGCCTTTAAATCTGTTAAAAACAGGTATTTAAAATTACTTTAAAATGCCTTATAACAGTGGAAGTTTGCTGATGATCATTATTTAACTAATCATGCTTTCATTTATTTTATAAAATATTTGTGTGGAAGAGTTAGAAACATATAAATATAGCTTATCAAATACATTGCCTAAATTCACAGAATAAAAAAAAATTCTATAGTTTGTGTGCAGATCATACTCCAAAAATACCTTTTCTACACTGGTAAGTTGCCCCTCGCACTGGTTTTAATGGACAATATTTAATGGATAATATCTCTGTGGCCCCTGAGGCAGAGGTGGCTCCACGTGCTGCCTCCATCCCCAACACCATCCCCGCTGCTCCCATTGCCCGGGAACCGGCTAATGCGAGCTGCGCAGGCGGCGCTTGCGGATGCAGGCAGTGCTTGCGGGCAGTGCATGGAGACCTGCTGCCTCCCTTCCCCCAGGGGCCACAAAGCCCCCAGGGGCCACAAAGACATGCCAGCAGCCAGCCACTTCCAGGAGCGGCATGGGGACAGGGCAGGCAGGCAGCCTGCCTGAGCCCTGCCTACCGGGAGACACCTGTGGTAAGCACCTCCCAGCTGAAGCTTGCCCCTCGCACCCCCTCCTACACCCCAATCCCTTGCCCCAGCCTGGAGCCCCCTCCTGCACCCAAACTCTCTCCCAGAGCTTTCACCCCTCACTCCTGCACCCAAACCCCCTGCTCCAGGCTCAGCGCGGAGCCCCCTCCCACACTCCGAACCCCTCAGCCCCAGCCTGGTGAAAGTGAGTGAGGGTGGGGGAAAGCGGTGGAGTGAGTGGGGCTTTGGCTCAGGAAGGGATGGGGCCTCAGGGAAGAGACAGGGTAGACCCTGGGTTGATCTTAAATTCAAAAAGTGATCTTTAGCATAAAAAGGTTGGAGACCACTGATTTAAGTATCGCAACACCGAGCGCAGAAAAGCCTATATATATATATATATATATATATAAAAATTTGGGCCTATATTCTTACACATTGAACATAAACTAATAATGTACATTAAAGAATAAAGCTTCTTGCAGTAAAATATCTGAAAATAAGATTACTATTTCTGTCAGTGTCTGCTCATTATGAGAAATATTGCAAAGGGAAAAAAAATTACGTGTACCCATTAATTTCTTCTTACCTAACGGGAGCTTTAGAAATGATGGAGCTTCCCTGAGGTACTGTACAGTGATGGTAACTTCATCGCCAGCATTTCGCAGTAGGTGTACCTGTCAGTGTGACAAATAACAGCTACTTTTTATCAAAAGAGAACCAGCCACAGAAAGCAAAATAGTCTGCAACAAAACCTCCATCTCTGTTGTTTTGACAGAAATACAACAGTAATGTTTATAATTGGAATTAAGAATATCTTGTGGGTCAAGCCACTCCATCAAATGATAAAACCAAGTATACCCACAATTACTGAAGAAACTGAGAAAAATTAAAAATTGAAGGACAGTTTGTGTTTACGTACAGACAGGAAAAAAAAACGCTCTCTGAAAACAATTTCATATCATACACCTGTCGTGACAGGTAAGTGGTACATTAAGGATGAAAAAATGAAATGTAGTGCAAGTTTTACATTTCTGTTTCCTGATTGATATAGACTTGTAGCAGGAGTTCATTTTCTTTGGCCACCCAGAGCACTTCAGCCATGTTAACAAGATACAAGAAAATACTGAGTTAAAATAATCAAATGGTTTGTACTATAAGGCCTCTTTGCATACAATTGTTTTCTAACTCAGATATTGAAAGCAAGTGAAGTCTATTGTGGAGCGTAGCTGAGGCCTGGCCTGACATGAATAATTAACACATGGAGGGAGGCCTGATTTTTTTGGAAGACAGAATTAGGGAAGTAAATGAATCATCAGAGTAGCACTGCTGTATGCCACATAACAATACGTGAGTGCCGAAGGCTGGAGTCGAATTAATTTATTGGGAAGTCGAGTGGGGAAAAAAGTCTCAAAGGGAATCCCAGCAGTTTCTGGAAAGGATCTTCATTCCCACTCATTTTCCTCTGCACCTCCCTGCTTCAAAGCATCCCGCTCGCTCCTTCTTTGATCTCACTGAGCTCCTGCTCCCCACTTAGCCTGTTCTCTGCTCAGTGAATTTATCTCTTGGCCCCAATATTTGTCTCAGTGTTGATATAATTGCAATTGTACCATGAGTTCGGCAATATCTGATGTTTTATTTAAAGCCACACCTCCTGCAGCCACGTGCTTACATGAAAACCTCAGTTTTCATTTAGAAAAAAGCCCTACTAGGTGTGGGGAAAAAGCTGCAAACATCGCCCGAGTGCACCCTGGAAACTCAAAACCAGAAGGAAAAGGAAAAGAACCATTCATTTATTCTAAATCTCACAGCTGCAAAGCCAGTCTCATGATTTTGGGGTATAACTCCTTATTTCTGAAGATGTGTGGTTGGCAATATTGGTCTTCCCTGCCCCCCAACATACAGGTAAAGGGGGTGCCACCTGTAATAGCAACCACAACACCTCTCCTTTAGCTCCCCATCCTCAGCAGAAATATGCAAATGTACCCTTGATGGCTGTTAACTCACCCACATCCTCCCCATTCTCCATGTATCTGTATACTCTCCTATTGCATCTCTTTGGGAGTGTCTTTGTTTCATCCCTTCGCACAGTGTCTAGCACCACAGGACCATGCTCTCTGATTGGTGTCTCTATGTGCTACCATAATATAAATAAAAACAGAGAACTGACAAGTGGAAGATGGAGAACTTATGCACTGGCAGGCTAAATGACTTGTTCAAGGACACAGAAAGTCTGTGGAAAGGCTAAGGACTGAACCTAGCTATCCTGAATTCCAATGCAGAGCCTAGGCCACAACATCATTCTTCTACAAAAATTGTTCATTAAAAGCTGAGACTGAGTTGTAGGCTCTGACAGTCATGAACTGTATTATACCACATTCCTGAATAGTTCAGATAACTGATTGTTTTATGTGCAGCCTATTACATATCTGCACACATTTTAGAAACTTCAGTTGGTATAAATAACTGAATTTGAACCTTCAGCTGAAATGAGTAAAAAGGATGGTGGAGAAAGCATACTTTGGGAGTGCATAAGATCATTTAGGTTGGATTTATAAAGCATCTTTGTTCACGGTAAGCTTTCACATTATTTTTTAGTATTTTTCAAATTCCTCAGTAACTGGATGACCACTTCATTTTTAATTAACACTGATTTAATAATTCTTAAAACCCCTATTTTGACCTTTTTGCAAATCTATCAAAACCAAGATTTTTTTCTCTTTACAACAGTACAATTTGTACAGGTCAGTGCCTGACCCATTCTGCCATGCCTGTACAGAATTGTTTTGAAAGATAAATCCAGTACTGGCAAAGAAGTACTTTCCATTCAGGTCACAAAAGAAAAAAAAAAAGTAGGGCAGCTCAGATCTTCGGTAAATGGAAAGTCAATATTAATCCATCCTTCCCGCATGTAAGGTCTGAGCAGAAAGAAAAGTGAGTGATCTCAAGTAACACGTTACAGTGAAAAATTAGTATTGTGCCTTGTAGCTTTAGATCAGCTACTTTGAATGAAGAGATGGGAAACTCATGGGGACCTACAATAAATGATGTCTTGGCTTTTAGTTTTAACAAACCCTGTTTTACACTCTAGATTCTTATGTAGCCTTCATCACTTATCTAAGTGTATCACAGTCATTAATGCATTTTATCCTCACAACATCCCTGTAAGGGAAGTATTATGCTTCATTTTACAGAAACTGAGGCACAGGGTAGATTAAGTGACTTACCTGAAGTCACCCAGGATCTCTGATTGATCAGGGACCTGAATCCAGATCTCCTAGGCCCCCTTTCAGTGTCCTATTTACTATACCATCTTTCCTCCTAATATACTATACATATAATTTGATTAATGATTAATTTTAGCAAAATTTGGGATATTAGCAAGTTCTGTTTTGAAGAACATCATTGATAAATTGGATGACCTCTAAAAAATGCACAGGATTCATTTTATAGGCCATTACTCAACCCTCCGATTCACATTGTTACAACAGTCTATTTTAGCTTTGCAACCGGGCAGTCATAAACAGTGCATACATAAAGCAGTCTGTGATGAAAAATGCTCATGATAAAGGTTGAGGAAACAGTTGGTAAAGTCTTGTATATGTTGAAATGAGTCACTATTTACTTTTTTTAATCAGTCACAGGATGATGAATGTGGCTTCCTGAACTCCATTAATATACACATTAGGATTTGAAATGAATTGATGTACTCTTTCGAGGCCATTCATATCAACTAATCACTTTGTGCTATTTATGCTAATCTGCATGTTAATGAAGCCTTCAAAGCAACATTCAATGCTTTTAAATTTGAAAAATACATTTCTAAACTAGAAAGAGTAAATCAAGATCCTGCCGCCCTCCAAAGATGGAATGTCTGAAATTTTGACTCATTAACCAAGAGAGTATAATTTGGAGAAACGTCTTATTAGGGTGTCTTTTAAAGTTAAAAACAATTCATTACATTATTCTAGTTAAAATATTGTAACTAATTAAGAAAGTTTCAATATTTTAAGCCAACTGATATAATTTAGTCCCTTAGTCATTATATAACAGAAAAATATGTGAAATTCCTCAAATGTTCCTTTCATATATATGGACTTTGACATGACTTGTGTGTCTCAGAATTAAAGAGACAAATTCAGTCAGATTCTTTGGAAGGCAGTGCAGACCCACGCAAAGGGTTCATGTCTGCAGAAAGTCAGTCAGGGAGTTGTGGAGGTGCAAGGTATCCACAACGTCTTCTCTTCTTTGTCAGATATGTTCATGTCATACTCTCTGTTAATCCAGCATTGCAACTAACCATGGGAGAAACCAATTCTGACAAAATGGACTGAGACCACAATAGGAGATATAGACAAACATTGACATAAATGGCCCCTTTCGGGGCCTCAGTCCAAGACAGCACCTAAAATCATCATTTTCAATATCTGCAGAAAAGTCTGATTTTCTGTCTGGCAGAAAAGTGCCTGCAAGAGACACACAAAGAGAGAGACAACCACACCAAACATACCTGGCATGCATATTGCTGTGAACGTCAAAAGAAACACCTATAGTAGCACAATACATGTATGCAACAAAAGACTGGCGAAAAACACTGTTGTGAAACACCATGGTACAATGGAACTTATTGAACTCAAACAAATAGCAGTGGTTTCTCTTTAAAAACCACCAGAAGAGTTAGCATGCCCAACTGACTTTCCCCAGCAAGGAAAAACAAACAAACACACCATATCTTGACATAGGCGACTTCAACAGTCAACACCATCTGGGGATATTCCAACAATGACAATAATGGTGAAATAGTTGAAAAGTAAGAAGCAACAAACAACTTGAGTTTGCTCTATGATTTCCAGGATAAATATACTTTCCAAAGTGCACAATGGAACAAGAGGAACAATCCTGACCTCGTCTTTGTCATCTCTGAAAGTTCAGAAAGGAAGTCATGGCAACAGTCCTAAAAATCCCAACATTGACCAGTGCAAGTGACAACAGAGGCTGCAGTACGACCCAAGAAAACAAAGTACCCACTGAGATTCAACTTCAGAAAGGCTGACTGGGAAGGCTTTACAGCTGAATTGGATGGATCCATCTGTCATATTACTCCGACAACATGCACTATGGAGAGGTTTTCTCCATGGTGTGGAAGACTGCCCAACAGCAAATTCTAGGAGATGCTGGATGCTATATATGCCTGGACTTTCAGAACAAACAAGTGAACAATATTAAAAATGTGTCAAATTGTTTGACTTGGATCCCTTCCGCAAACAAACCATTGTGCTCGAGATAATGCTTATAAGAGAGATCCAAAAGAAGCAGTGCAACTACTGGAGGGAGTTGATTGATAACCATCAATGCGTATCAGTGCAGTCTCTCCCAACCAAGTAGCACACCAATTTATTCTAAATGGTAAAACAGTCCACGAAGCAAAGCACAAAATGAAACAGATTATGCAGGAACTTCAATCACTTCTCACAGACCATGAAGTCCGCAATGAGTCCTTCAACATTAAGGAGTTGACAATAGCCATGAAAACAAACACTTAAATGTGGAAAGACAGCCAGACTCAATGGATATAGTGAACTATTACTGTACTTTGAGATTGACAGCAATGAAGAGGCTACTTGATTTTTTGAATTCTTGCATGGAGACAATGCAGATACCCAGGCTGTGGAAACAG